CTATCTATCTATCTATCTATCTATCTATCTATCTATCTATCATCATCTATCATCTATCTATTCCATCCATCCATCCATCCATCCATCTATCTATCTGATTCTTGCACCAGGCACATTGTAAATTGAGGACTATTTTACATTCTTTTTAAATATTATCTGATTATCTATGATGTATGTTGACTTTATGGCTGTTTTATGATCCTGTAAGCCACCAGACGTCCATACAATTCAGCAGTAGAGAAACTATTGTCAGAAATAGCAATAAAATAAAATTAAGCAACACTTGGATGAACCATGTTTTAATGCAGTCTACAAAATCTGCCAGGCATTTAACATTTGCAGTGATTCGCTTAAGAACCCTGGCAATAAAAGTTTGTAAAATTGAGTCTGACTGACTTAATAGTCTCCTTGCCTAGCATTGGAAATTCTGGGCCCCATTGTGGTTATAAGTTGAGGACTTTGTCAATAAGCACAAAGTATAATTATTTTCCATGTCTTTTTTTTAAATTTTCATTTTTCTCCACATTTTCTCCACAACAGCCCTGCAGGGTAGGCTGGGCCAGGAAGAATGACTGCCAAAGTCATTATGCCTGTTTACCAATTTATTTTTAAATGATGCTTTGTTCGCCATCTTGAAAAAGGAAGTAAAACTGGAAAATAGTTTTTTTTTTTAATGTGCACAAAAGTTTTTGGAGTTTGTACCGAAGTCAGTAAAAAAAAACCTGAACATTTTGTACCTAAATGTAGTAAAAAACAGATCCATTGCTGGCCTGCTATTGTGGCTTATATATTTTCTTGATTATTATAAACATTTATCATCTAACACCCGCGTAATTCCCGTCGTAGCTGACTCCTTCCTGCCCGAAAAAAAAACCATTAAAACAAATTGAAAACAGTTAAATCTGACAAACGGTGTACCAAAAGCTGGAAAATTTTAATATCAAACCACTTTAATACTCTGAGCGGAGATAAAAATGGAGTAATTTTGAAGCCCTGGAAGCAGGCACATTATCTGATATTTAAGACCTTGAGGAACTGGGGAGGAAGAAAAAAAAAACTATAGTTATTTGGGAATTAGATAATGGTTTTTGTAATTTCTGGCCTGTCTTTTAATGCTCTTGGAATCGGACCGTCCAGCGTTTTAGAAATTTTTGCAATAAACAAAAGCCATTGAACTGGCCACCACCAAAAAGGCCATGCTCCTTATTATGAGCTGCTGTACACCAACGCATACCATTTCTTCCTTTTCCAGGCCCTTTGAATAGTCCTTGACTTACAGCAGTTCACTTAGTGACCGTTCCAAGTTACAATGGCACTGAAAAAAAGTGACTTAGTTAGGACCGTTTTTCACACTTAACGACCGTTGCAGTGTCCTCATGGTCATGTGATCAAAATTCAGGCGCTTGGCAACTGATTCGTATTTATGACGGTTGCAGCATCCCGGGCTCACCTGATCCCCTTTTGCGACCTTCCAACAAGCAAAGTCCATGGGGAAAGCCAGATTCACTTAATGACCGTGTGACTCCCTTAACAACGGCAAGAAAGGTCATAAAACCAGCACGTACAGTATTTATGATGGTTGAAGCATCCTTGCATCCCGCAATCAACGCTTGTGACCTTCCCCGGATGGCTTCAAAGGAGGGGAAGCTCAATTTGCTTAACAACTTCTTGACTCAGTTAACAATTGCAATGATTCTCTTAACAACCATCGTTAAAAGAGGTCATAAAATCAGGCTCACTTAACTCCTTAGCAATGGTAATTCTGGATCTAATGTTGATCGTGAGTCATTTGTGAATGTTTTTAATCTACTGTCTTTTTACGGTTTTAATGTTTTTCAAATATCTTGTTTATAGTGTACGGTGCCCAGAGTTGTTGGACACAACATGGATGGCAAACAAATTTTATAAATAAATAAAATTTTACCACTATCCATAACCCATTTTCCCTCCTCCCGCACATGCGTTGTTCTTCTCTCCCTGCCCCACCGTTCCCCCATCGGGGTCCCCATGCCGTTATCTTACACTGTCTCGTCGTTCTGAAATTCCACCTTGCCGGCCACTTCCTCGTAATCCTCGCCGGCTTTCGCCGTGCCCTCGATGGTGTGATAGGGGATGGCCACTCGCCCGCGGGCCCCCGAAGTCCTCAACACTTTGATGTGTACCACACCTACGCTTTCGTTCACTCGCTTAGAGGGTCCCTCAAAGGTAAAGATACCAGCATGGTCATCATCGAAGATCGTCACGGTGGCCATCTTGGAAGGTAAGAGACAAGCTTTTGGAGGAGGCTCCGGCCCTAGCTCGGCCCAGGCTGCCCTGACGTTACTGAGGTGGACGTAAAAATATTCGTCCTCTTCAAAAATATCATCGTCAATGATCCCTACCCGCAGTTCCTTGCACGTCTCTCCCGGCTTGAAGAGCAAGGTACCCTCTGCAAATTCATAGTCTGAGCCAGCGTTCGCCGTTCCGTCCTCTGTACGGAAGTCCACTCGCACAGTGACGCAGTCCAGGTCCCCTCCTCGACGGGCCACAGTCAGGACCACAGAGCCACAGTTCTCAAAGCACTGATAGTGAGCTGGCTCGAAACCGATTCTCGTCACCGATTCATCTTCCTCCATCTGGACTTCTTGCATGCTGATTGCTTTGCGGGCCTGATCGGCCGCGTGTTTCTTGAGGATGTTCCCAGCTCCGATCATCATACGGGTTGCTTGGATGCGGTAGAATGCGCGGCTCTTCTGCTGCTGGACCAGTACTTGATAGTTGGCCATTTCTATCAGTTGTTCCATGTCCTTTTCAGGGTACTTCTGTTTCAAATCCCGCAAGGTCCGAGCCATGTCTCTGCGGGCCTCCTCGTCTTGATCCTTACCCGTATCCCCCAGACCTTCCGATCCTTCCTTGAGTGAGTTATCCATCTCAATGTCCATTTTCGGGTAGCCGGTGTCTCCCTCGCTCTCGATAATGAGACTCCGTGATTTATCCGTCCGGTACTTTTTCTGCACGTATTTGTAGAAGAGGAGTCGCCGGTCAGCCACCCAAGCTTGGAGGACACAGACTGGGAAAAACATGAAGGTGAGAAGACCTTCCCATAGTTCGACCTCGCCGGGAGAGAACCAGGCCAAGATGAGGTACAACCAGATGTACGCGAAAATGCTCCACGCCGCCGTGACGAAGAAAACCCGCAGGTGTTTGATGCGCCGTACCTCGCCCTGAGGGACCACGTGGATGCAGATGGCAATGATGATGAACATGTTAAAAGCGGCGCTGCCCACAATGGTGCTGGGACCCATGTCTCCTGCGTGAAAGCCATGACCCACAATCTCAATGATGGAGAGGAGTATCTCGGGCGCAGAAGATCCCAGGGCCATCAAGGTTAGGTTTGAGACCGTCTCGTTCCAGATGCGGATTGTGGTCGTCGTGGTCTCCCCGTTGGGTTTCTTAATGGTGATCTCCTTCTCCTGCGAGGTGATCACTTCGATGGAGGCCATGAAGCGGTCGGCAATGATGGACATGCCCAGGAACATGTAGATGAGGGCCACAAAGTAAACGATGGCCCGGGCTACCTTATCTCCGACGGAAGGATTCTGGGGGAGCCACACAGGTAAGATCACACCTTCCTGGCATTCGGTGTTTTCCTGGCACTTGGAGCTACGGTTGCCACCGTCTGGAGAAGATGACCCAGTCCTGGGTGAACCCAAGGCATTGTCCACTGTGGAAAGCAGCGACGGGAGGAACAGAGCCAAGAGAAGGACTGAGGTCTTCAGCGGAGACATGGTGGAGAAGATGACTCTGGGGAGAGAGAGAGGAAAGAAAGGGTTACTCACTGCTGGTATTTGGGTCTCTCAGAAGATTTGGCATGATGGGATCATCGATGGAGACTTTGAGGACCACCAAGAGAGGACTCATAAAACACTCCAAAGATGTCTCCCAACGTTATCCCTTCAGCATTTCTCAACCTTGGCTACTTTAAGACGGGTGGACTTCAACTCCCAGAATTCCCCAGCCAGCCATACTGGAATTCTGGGTGTTGAAGTCCACCCATCCTAAAGCATGCCAGCTGGGGAATTCTGGGAGTTGAAAGTCCATTTACTTTAAAGCATGCTGGCTGGGGAATTCTGGGAATTGAAGTCCATCACCTTAAAGTTGTTGAACTTGTAATCTTTCTTGGACTACAATTGACCCAATCTGACTACAACTCATGGGAGTTGTAATCCAATATTCTGGAGAACATGTAGTAGGAATCGAAGGAACCAGAGTTAGCTTAATCAAGACCTCCACCTCTCCATCTGGCCTCCCAGAATCCCTTCCATCATGGATGAGATCTTTCTAAAGATGTTCCTGTCGTTTTGGATTCTCGGCCAATGCCTCTTGGGGATGATTGAACATGGAGTCGTGCTACTTGATTTGAAGGCTCGTCTGTGAGATGTCAAACCTTATACCATCACAAGTTTGTCTTCTCTGTGAGAGAAGGATGAATCAGAAGTCTATTTAAACATATTTATTTACATCTGTGTTTTTGTTCCTTTCTAATATGGACTCGGCTCCAAGGAACAGTAAGAAGATTCAAGACAAGGCACCAAACCTTAT